ATCATCTTTCAGGATAGGTTGTAGATCTCTGATGATGCGCTGGAGAGGTTTTAGTTGGGGGCTGAAGGTGACAGCTAGTGGTGTTCTGTTATTTTCTTTGTTGGGCCTGTCTTGTAGGAGGTGACTTCTGGGTACTCATCTGGCTCTATCAATCTGTTTTTTCACTTCAGCAGGTGGGTATTGTAGTTTTAAGAATGCTTGATAGAGGTCTTCTAGGTGCTTGTCTCTATCTGAGGGATTGGAGCAAATGCGGTTATATCTTAAAGCTTGGCTGTAGACAATGGATCATGTGGTGTTTCCTGGATGGAAGCTGGAGGCATGTAGGTAAGTGTAGCGGTCAGTAGGTTTCCGGTATAGGGTGGTATTTATGTGACCATCGCTTATTAGCACAGTAGTGTCAGGGATGCGTCCGGAGTGAAGAGAGTCCCTAGGGCGAATGGAGAGAGGCAAAGGCACGAGGTCAGCCTCGTTGTCCGGGCAGGAAGGCCAATGAGGGAGTCAGGTGCTAATTCTCTGTGTGAGCTGGAGCTGCCTGCCAAAGAAGGGCAGAGCTAAGGGGAGAGGAGCAGCCAGAGCTGGGTTGGAGGCAGAGCAGCAGAAGCACTGATGCAGAGGGAAGCTGGGTCTGGAGCAGTCTGGAGCTGGGGGTGGTGAGCAACTGGGGAGAACGAGTGGGGACCCTGGGCAGCGTGGGATGACATCATGTTTTCCATTTCCCCTTTCCCATTTTTTCCTTAATTTTTTGTATTACTTGCTGTTTAATAAATCGTATTTGTTCTGAACTCAATGCAGTGCTGAATGGCGACATCAGGGAAGTGTCCGGAGTGAAGAGAGCACCCCAGAGTGGAGATACGACACCCTAGCCTCTGTCCTGAGTGATCGCAACAAAATTGGGGATAAAGACCCCGCAGGAACCTTGGGGCCAGCCTTGTCGGGGTTTCAGACACCATAGTGGAACGGGAGTCCTCGAGGTCAGGCAGGTCTCCAGGTAAAGGGAGTGGGAGCGAGGACTCAGCTCCTTTTGCTATTCCATACTATCAGGGTGGTGTATAAACCAGTAAAGTTCCCCACAATAGTAAGACCGTTTCCCCCGCTTACCTCTGTGCATATGTATGGTTTCTCCTAAAGTTAGTTAGGATGTTAGAGGAAAGTGTCAGAGCAGCCACCAGTGAGAGTTGCTGGCCACACTCTGAGGCCACCAAATTTGGTTGTGAGAATCCCTGGGCTAGATGCTCATGATGGGGCCTTCTGACCATAGAGCCTGTGAGTGTAACAGAAGCCAGACACAGAGATGCTGCAGCGCGATGGGTTGATCGCTAGGACCCAGGTTGAGGCTGCTCTGGGGGGAGCGATCGCTGGGCTCAGGCCCGGCAGCAGGAAGTGACTCGCAGCCGCTGCGGTGACTCTGGCTCCAGGCTCCTG